TATCTCAATGTTTGCCATTGGTTTAAATTCTGGAATTCTTATGAAAAATAAAGCAAGAGGCTTCTCAGAAATTTCTTTACTCTGAGAGGTCTTTCTTCTGTGGATTTCTTGGGTTGACACCGAATCTGTGCCAGAATTTCATCACCACCTAGCACTGCAATAGACTGTACCTTCTGAAGCAGTTTCAGCGTCGTGATTGGGTCAAAGGCAATGACCCCATGAGTACCAGACTCTGGGAGTTTGAATGGCCAACACCAGTCACAGGGACCCGGGCCATCCTCTTACTGTAGGGGAAGCTTACCTAAATAAGCCTCAGCCCTTGAAGCTGTCAGACCTGGCTCTGAGACAGCAACATTTACACAAAGAAAGGTAAGTTTGAAGGCTGAGCATGAGCGCTCCTCTGCCTGGTAATGCCCCACGTCAGATCTTCACCTGACTAGATTCTTCTCAGCACACAGATCTCCACTTAAATGCCACATCCTCAGAACATTCTGATCAACCATTCTAAAGTGGCTCTCCTCCCTAGAACCACATAACCCTCACTTTTTATTTTTTTTAATTAAAAAATTTTTTTTTTTAGAGAAAAAGTCTTGCTTTTTTGCCCAGGCTGGAGTGCAGTAGTATGATTCTAGCTCACTGCAACCTCGAACTCCTGAGCTCAAGTAATACTCCTACCTCAGCCTCCTGAATAGCTAGGACTACAGGTACACACCAGCCACTATGTCCAGTTAATTTTAAAAATTTTTTGTGGAGATGGGGTCTTGCTATGTTACCCAGGCTGGTCTCAAACTCCTGGTCTCAAGCAATTCTTCTGTCTTGGCTTCCCAAAGTGTTGGGGTTACAGGCATGAGCCACCATGCCTGGACCACTTTCATTTTAAAATTTTTAATTTTCCTCTGTGCACTTGCCTTCTTTATTTACATCTATATTTTTGCTTATTCCCCTCCCCACAAGCACCCTCCCGGCCTCTGGAATATGCCTGGCATATAATAGATGCTTAATAAATGTGTGGACTGTTTATTTACCAAGAGAGCTGTTAAGAACAGCATTTCCTCTAGAACGGAGCTATTAGAATGAACCACATGGTACCAGGAACTCAAAGACTTAGCATGACTTAGTACTAAAAAGAAAGTGCTAGATCTCTTTCTAGATTCTTCTCACATAACAGTGAAGAGGCTCTAAGTCATAGTCTGATTACCAGTCCATCTCTGGGGGATCCATGGAAATGGATGAGGTAGATCAATACCACTCTAGTATTATGGCAAGAGATGCAATCTTGGTATTACAGGATTATAAATATTATAGTATTTTATATTATAAATCATTCCAACAGAAAACCACATATTTGCCCATTTTGTTTTGGTGAGAACAGTGCAATTGTTTGCACAGTCTTCTTGTCGCACCTGCTCTGGCCTGTCCAGTAAAAATACTGGAGCCAAAAAGTGTAAATGGGTTCAGGATAGCTTCTCAAACAATGAGATGGGGTAAATGCCATCCTCTACAGTCATCAAGAAGCATTTTCAGCTACTCTTGGAAATTCAATAATAATTGTAAATGGGTAAGTTTAGGAAAGCTTGGTGCCTTATCAAGATTGCTATGAAATATGAAGGCAAAGTATTCAGGTGAAACACAACGAAGTAATATATAGTAATTATTATTCTATTCACTGATTTATTTATTAGAATGACGATGATACGATACACTTCCCAACAATCTTATTTGGCTTTCTAGATCCTTGAATTGGGTTTAAAATTCTTTTAGGCAAGACTAAGAGCAACATAAGTGAATAATGCCACAAAAAAACCCCATTAAGTATGAAAATCTACAAGATGACGCAACCATGCTTGAGTTACAAACAGAAGAATCGACATTCTACAAAGAAGAAATACACTGTTAAATCTATCATGCATTCATTTTAATGGTAAAACAATTGCATTGCATCCATCTAATCTTGTAATTAAGATTCAAATAGGTGCAAAATGATTACTTTGTACTGGCCTATCAAAACAGAAGACATTGTAGTTATAAGCTTTCTGACTAGCAGTAGTGTTTTAATTATAAATGCCTGGCTCATTATTTGCTCAAGAGTGAATGACAATTAGCTTGATCCTATTGCAACTGTTAATGCTATTGGTACGAAAAAAATGGGCAATATTGAATCAGGTTTCTGATATTTCCCTTCAGTTTACAATCTTCTGATTGATACTATATTCAAAATATACTTAGTCATTTAAAGTCACAGGCAAGAAGGAAAATGGCTCCCAACAGCCAAAAAAAAAAAAAAAAAGGTGTTGCAGGAAGGGTATTTCATGGCAAGCCTGGAGAACAAAATCAGTATGAGATGAATCACGTTCTAAAATAATTGAACCAGAGAAAGACTCCAAGCAAAATATTTTAGTTGGCCACAAAACAACATGACAACAACCACCACCACCCTTCAGCCCATTAGAAAGGTTCAATTCTACGATAGTGCTATGGAATAGAATATTAGATAAACTGCTAGAATAAAGCAACCATTTACACAGATGGTTTTGAATCTCAATGTTCTTCACATCGAAGCAAACCTCGGGGAGGTTTCAGGTTTAGCACCATCTTCCTAACACATCTATAGAGATATTTCCACAAAGGTTCAGGGTGCACTTGTCATTGGAAGCGTAGGCTTGGATTTGGGTCCTTTTCTACCGAGAGCACTGAGGTCACCAATGGAGGGATCAGGGAAGGCAAGAGCACAAGCATTTTCTGATTCTCAGAATTTCTGAAATACCTTTTGTTTCAGTGGCGCTGGTGAACTTGTGATAATGAAACTACACCTCTGTACACAAACCTTGACCTGCATTCTGGAGCATATTGCAAAGAAAACCTTAATTTTGAAAGTGCTGAGCACAAAGGAGGGAGAGAAAAGCTGTCACTGTGCAAGCTTTCTCTATATGTTTAGAAACATGGCTTAATTTTTAAGGCTTGAAGACCGCATTAAAACCATCTGAAACCAGTTCAGATTCTATATGAGAGGAAAAAGAACTGTAAATTTTTCATTAAACATTTGTTTCCTTTTTAAAGACATTCTTTTGCATATCTGTTATTGCATGTTGAAATACGATTTGGTTACCAAGGAAACAGGTTCTGGCCCAGTGTTAAATTTGAAACTAAAATATATTTGAGAAGTTAAGCTCAAAAGAAAGAGCTCATGAAATTATTTTGAAAAGTGCCAGAACCACAGCTATATGGTCTGCAATGAACCATTCTGGGGGCTCGGTTTCATTCAGTGAAGCTCTATTTCTGTTAAGAGGGCCATCTATATTTAATATTTCCCTCTTTGAAAATTGTAACTCCTCATCTCCCCAAATTATATACATAATATAATATATTCTTGTATATTACCTAAAATTAATTTTGGAAGCATATTAGTTTTTATTTTCATCTTTCATATAACACGTTTAAAGACCGCTTCTTAAAATTTAAATATTTTTAATGTTTCTTATTAAGCTTGTTTACGCTCTTTGAAATCATCTCCAGAAACCCATTTATTTTTAGTTTCAAGCTGAAATGGAGCTGAATCATCACTCTTTTCAAAAAATTCTTTTGTTGTCTAATGGCACCACACCTATCATATATATGATTTTTTAAAAAAATAATCTCCCTTTTATGGCAGAATCATTTAGTAAGTTTGTAAAAGCTATACATTTATATACTATCTGAAGAGCAGAGGCTATCCAATTAAAAACCCTCCCCCAAAAGATTACAACTGTCTTATTTAATTTTTGTTTTTTTAAAAGTCATATTCTAATGCATCTAATGTTCTTGCTGCATGGCTAAAAAAAAACTATAAAAACATGCAAATTTCAACCTACCTGTATGCATCACTTAATGCAGTGCTAGCATGACAAGACACTCAGCCATTTTTATGTAAAGCGATGGAGACCAACTGATTTCTCTGTCTTCTTGCTCACAAGTTTTAGATGCAATTGTCACATACACACAAAAATCATACGCAGAACAGCTTGAATGAACTGTGATCACAGAACTGAATTTATCAACAGGAAAACAGGATTGAAAAAAGAAGTTTCTCATCCAAGGTTTCTCTGAGACTGCAACCAAGGAGGTGGTGTGTTGAATTTTTTTCCCCTTCCTCCTCTGAGAGTTCAAAGCTCGGAGATGACCACTGCAAAGGCCACTGTCACATTTGCTGAAAATCAAACCACTGATACCAGCATTGAAAATACAAATTTGAGAACCCAAGTTGCTTGCACATGATGGAGTGCATAAGAGTTAAAAATAGAATCCACCTTGCCTCCTACCTGCATAATAAACATGTAAGTTTCAAGTGTTTAATTTGATATTCACATTAATTAACAATACAACATACATTATTTAAAAGACAGCAAATGCACGAAGAAAGGAGAGACACCATCTGGTAGCAGAGTTTTGTTGTTGTTTTTGTTTTTAGGGTTTGTGGGGGGTTTTGGTTTTGTTAAAAAAAAAAAGGTAAAATCATATTTTGAATGTGATGTAAAGCAAACATCCAGAAGCAAATGAATCGGAAATGAAAGGTGATGTTGAAATATCTAAGGCTGTAATGAGGCAAAAACAAGTCTTCGCTACCAGATGATATGGCATACAGAGCATTTACATACTCACATCTGAAATACTAGGCAACGTGTAATGAATTCTAGACACAGCATGCACACACAGCACAAGCACGACTAATCCTGCCTGCCATCTTAGGCTCGCAGAAGCAAGATACGTACTGCATGCAGCACACGAGCACTGGGGAAGGAGGAGGCAAGGGACAGCTCACCTTAAATGCAGTATCTGATTAATGTTGTAAGTGACATTGCATATCAGCCTCAGAGTCTTGGTTCAACTGGGTAGGAGGGAACAAAGAAAAATGTCATCAACTGGTGATGCAAGATGAGCCCAATCACTAAACACTGTTTAGCAAACTCCAAATTCTGCAACCAGACAGAAGGCATTTCATACACTTAAGCAGAGCTGCTCCACAATGAGTGTGTCCTTCTGCTTCTGAGAATCAAACAATCCTTTTGCTAAGGAAGAAAATAAGCTGGAAAGAACACTCTCATATTCTCTTCTTGAAGAAAGCTCTCAATACAGTATGTATCTGGTCCGGGATGCATTTTATAGATTGTTAATTTTATAGAATTGCTAAGAAAAAACCAAAACTGTTAAGCTCTTGCAAAGTAAAGAATAATTTTGATAAAGGGTATAGCATTTCTAGATTATTTTTCAAAACCCTAAATGGTGCCGGCAGGCTTGTAGAAGAATGCATGATCAGCTGTCTGTATCCGTGCTATAACCTTTAACCACGAGCAGTGTAAATGTATCCTGCTAAATGGATCTGCAGTACAGAGCGGCAGATACCGCCTCAGAATTTTATTAAAATATGAATGGATTTTTTAAAACTTGGAAGCAGAATAAAATCAGAACAGAAAAATAAATTGATGCTGAATTCTTCTGGCTGTATAGCTGACCATCATGAACGATAAAAGCTATCCTTAGGATACTGACCTAAATAATACGAAGACTTACAGCAGCATACTGTATGCGTTCAGAACATAGAAAATGCAAAATGATTTTTCTCCTCCCTCCCCCTCCAAAAGCTAAATTTTAAAGTAACAAGCCATTAATAGGAATACCAAAAGGCTATAGATAGTACATACTGTAAGAGAAGAAATCGTATTGTGCTGAGATGCAATGTTTCTTTGTTTTACTTTGAGGCTTATTTTAGCTACGCTTGCATGATGACATTGACATCAGGAGGTCAGTGCTGACACCGGGTTGATATCCGTTTTATGAGTGAAATGTTTTCCGAAAATTAAATCTCATCTACTCAAACACCAAATTTCATGTCGTCTTCAATACCACCTCCCTACCCCCACTGCTCAAGATTGATGGGATCTAGTTTGGCGGTTTGTAACAAATTGGAATCACCTTCTGCAGATACTCCACTACGTAATGGTGAGGAATTAATTTTTTAAATAAAAAACCTTCAAGAATTCTTATGCACCCCCTTTCATTCCTTCCTATCAACACACACACACACACACACACACACACACACACACACACACACAC